TGGTTTTAGTTCTTCTTGGTTCTTTCGGTAAAGTCACGTAGAAGGGAAGTAATAAAATAATAAAAATAAAACATAATAAAATATAGCCACAACGCAAGCAGCCGTCCTCAGGTGAGGACGGCTGCTTGCGTTGTGGCCGTAACGTCGTGAGAATTATTTTATTATGTTTTATTTTTATTATTTTATTACTTCCCTTCTACGTGACTTTACCGAAAGAACCAAGAAGATGAATCCCTGCAGTCACGAAAGCTTTAAATTGAAAAATTGGTTTTAGTTGTTTTTTTTTCGTACTCAATTCGAAACAAAAATGGCTCATCTTGTTGTATATTTTGGTTTGCCGACGAAATTACCCCCCCCCCCTCCACCCAACGTAACCCCGACCGGTTTGTTTCTCGTGCCGGGCGGTGACATCGAAATGGACGGAGTTACGCGACAAATCGACGGCCCGCTCGGCTTACGCGTTTGCAAGCAGATCACACTGGCGAGGGTTGGGGGCCAAAAAAGGTGGTATCGGTCGAGAGAGTGAAAACGACTTGACCGAGAACCGAGATCGGCGGGACGCTCAGAGGCCCCTTGATGCAAAACGTTTTCTCGGCCACATCTGCCGTGCGATTCATTTATACACGGATCACCCTGTGTTTTGGGAGTCTCAAGACTCGCTCTCAAGAGAGGGCGCTGCCTGGACCGGACATCTCATTATTAGCGTCCGCCCAAGACACGCCGCTACTGCTGACGCAACGTTTAGGCGGCCGAATCTCAGCTGCTTTGCCCGATGCCCTCTGGGGCTGCCGACTCATTTGACGAAAATGTCATTTTCTTCGCAAGGATCGTTTAAATGCTAAACTGCCTGCAAGCAACGGGACACCCAGAGGACCCCCATCCCCTTCACGACAAGTGAAGCCAACGACGCCGTCGGGACGGTGCGTTCGGTACGCGCCGGCGGCGCCGTCAACACCCACACTCCATCGAAAAGTGGCCAACAACATCAAAGCGAAACGGCCGCGCGCGTGCGTGCGTTGCAATCGACAGGGAGAGGTGGGGGGGGTGACGAGTGGTTTGGTGGTGGGGGGGGGGAAGAGCACACGGGTTGGACCGTCCGTACGCTGAACTCCGTCCGCGCCGTGCGGAGCTGACCGTGCCAAGTCCGGAGGTTGCGCGCGAGTTAACCAAACGGCGGCGCCGCCCGAAACGAGCAGGCCAAACGAACACAGCGGGACAAACCGCGTCCCTCTCTCAACCACCCGCCAGAGGTCGCAACCGGGTACCCGATACCCGTACCCTACCCGATACCCGGCCGGGTACGGGTAGCCGTTTGCGACCCTGGTGCGGCCGGGTATGGGTAAGACGTGAGTCACTGGTGAGTCACCGTTTGTCACTAATTTCGGGTAGGGTACGGGTAGGGAACGGGTACCCGTACCCGGCCCTGGTGCGGCCGGGTACGGGTAAGGAATCAAAACCCGTTTGCGACCTCTGCCACCCACCCCGAAACCTCACCACCCCCTGACGCGATGCCAAGTCTCCTCTCTTTCACGTTTTGTTCCCTTTTCAAGTTTCGGTGTTTGCAGGCAGAAAACATCGCGGCCACCTCCACCCCCTGCTCGCCCCCAACCACCATCCGTGAATCTTCCGTGACCCAGCCATTGGGCTGCCAACATTTCTACTCCTACACTCCCTCCTCCTCCTCCCCCCTCCTTTCCTCCTCCTTCTCTCCTCCCTCATTGCAAACTCGCCCACCCCCCCCCCCACCATCCTCGCCCGATCCATAACATCAGCCTGCGCCAAACTAAGGCATATTTAGGATTCTTAGGGTTGTGGAAACATCCAGGATGCAGACGACGACAACAACAACAACAAGCTCTCGCCACCTGTCACTGACACTGCCTTACAAAAGGAATCACATTTACAAGAGAAAAATATAATTTTTAGTTTTTTTTCCCGTTGTAAGGAAGGGGCCGATGGTGGGGGTTGTTTTTTTTTGTACATCCATTAAGTTTCGTATACGGCTGTCAACGCAGCTGACTTTTAATTAAAAGCTCACAAACAGTTTGAAGCGTTTGGGACGTATTTATAGCAGGCACGTGACAAATCCCACAAAACCGCCTCGTAGCCACGGCGAGGCGATTGTCCACGACTCGTTCCAAAATTTGCCTTCAAGAATCAAATCAAATCAAATCTTCAAGAATCTATTTTACGCACGAGACACAAGTGCAGGAGTGGGAACGTCGCGATGGTGCCACCTCAACAATTCCTTTTTCAATACGGCAGATTATAACAAGGAATACGTTTCGTCAAGAGGCGAGGGCTCTCCTCCCTGTGTAAACATTACACACCTGCCATCTACCTCCCTTATAATAGGATAAATACGGTAATACATTCTGGCTTAGCCGGCGGGAAACAGACAGACAACCAAAGGACCCCATCCCAACCCCTCCTAAAATAAAAGTCCCCTTTCAAAGAAGTGTATCTTATAAAAACGTGTGGTTAAGATTGTGATTATTTAAGTTATTTGTTTTGTTACGATTACCATTGTACTATACGGATGCATACAAATGCCCATCTCCTGCACGGCGGTGAATGTACAGCAAATTAACTCTTGACGACGCGTCGCCAACGTGAAGTTCATGTCGTTCCAACGTCATTTTTTGGAGAGAAAGAGAAAAAAATCGCCAAGGTGAAGAGCCAAGTTTTTACAACTAAACTAAACAATTTTTTTCCTTTTATCAGGTAAGGCTATATAGATATTTTTCAGAAGCGACCTGCCTCATCACAAATGATAGCTCAACGAAGTGGCTTATCATCCCGTGGAAATGTACAGCAGCCATATAGTCTAAAACGTGTGGTGATGTCGATTCTAAATGTGCAGGGAAAAACCGGCGGATCCGGGGAAAAAATCCCACGTGACCACGGTGAGAGAGACATTGCAAACTCCAAATATACAGCAGCAGCAGGCGTCAGGATCAGGATCGAACCCACGACCTCCTGCGTACCAGGCGAGGGAGTTAACATCTCACCACCGCGGCACGACACAGGACAGACGCAACACTGTCATGTGTGCGATCACTCAGCAGTGGCAGCTGCGAAGCCTTGAGTTAGTGTATTGTGTTTCAGGGGTCTAAATAATGGTCAGAACGCGCTAGCAAAATATCAGATCTGCCGAAAAAACAGCCGCAGTGGCAGGCAGCCCAGTTTATCATCCACACACCGGATCACCTCAACCGCCAAAGCATTACATCTCTACTCACTGAAATGTCCCACCTTGCTCCATTCATTCATGCTCGACCCATCGCTCACGTGGGAACAACCAAAGGAATCAGCGAACGGAATTCACGCGCCCCGTCTCTTGCTGCGGCGTAGAAAACCGCTGCCGACAATTTAGCGAAGCGGTAAATCGGTGGTCCTGACCGCATCCGCAACGCCGCGCCGTCCCCCCCAAAAACGTAGCAGTAGAATTTTGCGTCAACTGCAAATAACAATAATTCCCCCATCAATTCAAACGCAGCTGTAGTAAACATAAACATCGATTTTTAATAAATTGATAGGGTTGTTACTTGCCTCATTTTTGCCTTCTCTCCTTGAACACCCATTGCCACCTCTGGCGCTAAACGGGATTTTTTAAGACTGGCAGTAATTGTTTACTCCAATGCTTGTTGTGCCCTGCCCACTGCACGGGGACAATTATGGCTAAGTGAACACCAACCACTGCTGAGGTTGCTGTTCCTTCTCCTCTGCTGCCCCCCACTGTCTGAAACCCCATCCCCTTTACCGTCAAACTCCCTCACCCCTCCCCCCGTTCGTCGGTCCCTTCTAACCCCTTTTCCACTGGCACATCAGATCAGAGCCACGCCAGCGTGCGTGCGGCCACTCGCGGTACGGACACGTTTTCGACTGCCGCGTAGGCGTCTGCTCGTTGTCGCGAGTATAGCTCTCTGGAGTGTTCTCAGGGTTCAACCGCAAGTAGTTCGGCATGCCTCAAATATCGGTCCACACACTGGGAGGAATTTGACGAACTGCAGAATCCACTTCTGGCTACTTGCCGCAGCCCAGACAAAGCCAAGCCGTTGAAAGTCTGGCCGAGGCCGGATGTCTGCGGTGTGACCTTTGTGGCACGGCTCGGCTTCTGCGGTGGAAAAACGAACTGGCGCCTCCCTGAGCCGCGCCGCCGGGCTGGGGTCAGGATCGCCCTGGCACGGCTCAGTTGTGCAGTGGAAAAAATATTAAAATGTTTTCTCTTTTTTTTTCTTTTTACCAAGTATAGCCCATTGAGCGACACGGCTCTTTTTCAGAAGCGACCTGGCCACAAATGACAGCTCAACAAAGTGGCTCGTCATTGCGTCGAACTTTATAGCAGCCAGATACGCCAAAACGCACGTTGATTCGAAATATGGGAGGGAAAAACCGGAGGACCCGGAGAAAAATCCACGCGACCACGGACAGAGACACGCGCACTCCAAATATACAGCAGCAGCAGCAGGCGTCAGGGGTCGGGATCGAACCCGCGACCTCCTGTATACCAGGCGAGGCGGTCAACATCTCGCCACCGTGGCGCCATGCTTCCTCTAAGAGCCTCGCTTGAGGAAGGTGGTGCTGTTTTTCTGTGCCCTTGATCTCTCTACCTGTCCGCTACCCCCCCCCCCCCGCCCGCTCTTTCCTCAAAACCCCTGGCTCCTTGCGCACGAGAGTGTCCGGCGGAAAACTGGCATCGGCGAGAATTGTAGGGATAAATATGGCATCACTTGAGGTCTTCCAGGGCTAGCGGGGGGTTAAGCCAGACTGTGGTCGGGTGGGGAGACGAATTATTCTCAAAACGAGGAATGTGTTTCTCAAACTTAACGCAGCCTTCTTCTTGGTTCTTTCCGTAAAGTCACGTAGGAGGGAAATAATAAAATAATATTAATAAAACATTAAATACAATTCTCACGACGTTTCGGCCACAACGCAAGCAGCCGTCCTCAGGTGAAGAACAGGTCTGTCGGAAAGGCAGCGTCCGAATCTGTCTTCCCGACAGACCTGATCTTCACATGAGGACGGCTGCTTGCGTTGTGGCCGAAACGTCGTGAGAATTATTTTAGTATGTTTTATTTTAATTATTTTATTATTTCCCTTCTACGTGACTTTACCGAAAGAACCAAGAAGATGAATCCCTGCTGCAGTCACGAAAGCTTTAAATCGAAATTTAACGCGGCCTACTATGTCGGAAAAGGCGGCAGCAGCAAAAAATAAAAACGCTGTCCCGACGGTTAGTTAACGTGAAAGCGAAAGCGGTCAAATAAGCAACCGACGCACGTGTGGATGAGGGGACGCAGTTGGACAGACGAGATGTTATGGCTGGCGCTGTGGGGGCTAGGAGCTCAGGTTACGATTGGTCATTAGAGCTATGATTAGAGTTGGAGTTAGGGGTAAGGGTCACGCGTTAAGGTCAGGGTTATGGTCAGAGTAACAGTTTTGGTTACAGTCGGATAGAGGGCAAACGTTAGGGCTACAAAAGTAATGACTCGGGATGAGGTCAGTATTATAACAAACGATAACAGTTGGGGAGGTTTAAAGTTACAGTTCGAATTAAGATTCTTGTTAAAAAGTGTGTGGGCTGTGGTCCAGGCGAGCACTTGGCTTAGAGAGGTAGGGTAACTGGTCCAGAAAAGGTAAGGATCAGAGCCACGGTCAACGTTCCGTCTCACCCCACCGCACCCGACTTGCTCTCTGGGTCGCGGCCTGTGTGCTCGAATTGTTACTTTCCCCCCAACCACTGTCTGCCCCACCCCCCTCCCCTAAGTGCCAACGTTAAGAGCGTTTTTCGCAAACTGCAAAGAAATCCTACCGGTGGCATCCCACACAAGACTGTTAGGGCATCACACACACGCACACATACACACGCCCAGACACACCCGCACGCACGCACGCACACACGTACGCACATACGCACACACGCCAACAGCTGCGCGCGCGCGCGCACGCACCCACACCACGCCAAAGGAGGACTGAGGCAGGAATTTTGGCGAATATACCAATTTTGATTTCTCTTCACCATGGCAGGGACTAAAGGTTGGCGAGTAGGGGGTGGGAGGGGGGGGGTTGCGAGGGACCGTAGTAATCCGTCAGCGCAGCACTAACAGGCGCCCCCCCCCCCACCCAACACATTCCAGACTGCGCATTCCCCCCCCGCCCCCCGCCGCCCCCAATCAACTCTAAAAGGAGTTCCGCAAAAATATATATATAATAGCTATGTATAATAAACACAAAACCGAATAGGTTCAATCGAAAAATACAAAATACGCGAGAGCGACGGCAATCGGAATACATCTTTGCGGGGATTTTTGCTCAATCGGTGGAACGGCTCTGGCCACTTCCAGAGCGCAGCGTCCCGAGGTTCGCCCGACCGACCGCGCGTTGCCGCGTCGGCGGCGGCTCTCGGTCTCGTGTTGGTGCGCGGCTGCGCCGCACCACCACCCCCCCCAGCCCCGCTAAGTATGGTGCACAGCCCCGGCAGTACGGCCTACAGCCCGGCGTAAAGCCCGGCGTATAACCCGGCAGTACGGCGTATAACCCAGCAGTACGGCCTACAGCCCGGCAGTATGGCGTATAGCCCGGTAGCCAGTGCCCGGGGCGATGGTGTGGGCGCTAGATGGGGTTCTTGAGGATGCGTCCGAGACGAAAGTCGTAGACGCGACGGCACAGGTAGACGAGGCCGGGGTTGGCTCGGTCCGGCAAACAGCGGTGGGGGGGGGCGACGCGTGCCGGCAGTGCCGGCACCACACCCGCCGAGGGTCTCGCCAACGGATTCGCCCGCCGCCCCGACTCCTCGCGCTGGCGAACCTCGGCCTGGAACCTGCGAGCACGGGTCGGGGAGCGGGGGTCGGGGAGCGGGGGTTGGGGAGCGGGGAGAAGCGGGGAAGAGAGAACGGCGAGAGTGGTTAGACGTGGCGGGGAAGGGAGAGGATGGAAGGTCGGTGGGCTGAGCGACACGAGTGGGACGTTTTGTTTTTGTGTTTAGTTTGTTGTCCTCATTGCACCGCACCGGTCCACACGTAGCACTGCACTGCACCGCACAACGCACTGGTCTACACATTGTATTGCCCTACACAACACACCATATGGCACACGGCAGATTGACAGTTCTTTTGTGTTTCTTCCATTTGCGAATAATCGCACCAACTGTCGTCACCTTCTCACCAAGCTGCTTGGCGATGGTCTTGTAGCCCATTCCAGCCTTGTGTAGGTCTACAATCTTGTCCCTGACATCCTTGGACAGCTCTTTGGTCTTGGCCATGGTGGAGAGTTTGGAATCTGATTGATTGCTTCTGTGAACAGGTGTCTTTTATACAGGTAACAAGCTGAGATTAGGAGCACTCCCTTTAAGAGTGTGCTCCTAATCTCAGCTCGTTACCTATATAAAAGACACCTGGGAGCCAGAAATATTTCTGATTGAGAAGGGGTCAAATACTTATTTCCCTCATTAAAATGCAAACCAATTTTTTTTCTGGATTTTTTTTGTTGTTATTCTGTCTCTCACTGTTCAAATAAACCTACCATTAAAATTATAGACTGATCATTTCTTTGTCAGTGGGCAAACGTACAAAATCAGCAGGGGATCAAATACTTTTTTCCCTCACTGTATGTACGGCGTGAAAGAAGTTCGACACACATACCCCGTACATAGTGAATGGACGACCGTGGCCGACTTAGAAGGGAACGCAGAGCGAGGGAGAGAGAGGGAGAGAGATAAAAACGGGACAGACGTTGTCCAGACGGTCAGGCGAGGTGGGGGCAAGGGTCGTGTGGGCGTGCGGAGAGCCACCTGCAGTACTCCAGGTAGGTGAGCACGTAGCACTTGTCCTCGATGCAGGCCACGCTGTTCTCGTCCTGGTGTCGCGACGCAAACACCTCGTTCTGTGGGCGGCCAAGCAGAAGGGGGTGGGGACGGACAGCACTGCGTCGGCTGCGGCGTACAAGCGAGCAACTTTCTCCCGGCTCCCACTTCGTGTCGTCTGGGTTGTTGTTACCGCGCGCGCGCCGGGGCCGATTTTTCTTCGGGGGAACTGAAGAGAATTCTGGGGTGGGATCGGTGACAAGAAGCTCCCGGCGCATGGTGGCGGCGGTGTGGGTGGGTGGGGCGGAATGTCTCGACGACGGCAAAACAACCGCGCGGCGCGAAAACGCGACGGAGAGACACGTACGTACGGCAGAGGTCGCAACCGGGTACCCGATGCCAGTACCCTACCCGATACCCGGCTACCCGTACCCGGCCAGGTACCCGTTTGCGACCCTGGTGCGGACGGGTACGGGTAGGCCGTGAGTCACTGGTGAGTAACCGTTTGTCACTCATTTCCCAACGTCTTGTCTCTTCTCACGATTCAAGTTCCTAGAATCAACCCACCCGCGCCTGCAACATGGCTTCATCCCAGAGGTCGCAATCAGGTACCCGATACCCGTACCCGGCCAGGTACGGGTAGGGTACGGATACGGCCGGAAACGGGTACGGGTACCCGTTTGCGACCCTGGTGCGGCCGGGTACGAGTATGGGTAAGGAATCAAAACCCGTTTGCAAACTCTGAGGTACGGCAGCGCCGTGAAACGCTAAAAGGCCCTTCGGTCGCAATCTCCACCGCACATGGGCCCCGGGGGGAGAGAGAGCCTCTGGGCGCGCTCAGCGCACAATGGAAGGGGAGGCAGCGATACTGGGGGCATGACGGTGAAGGCGGCTGTACGAGTCGCAGGCGAGGAGGAGGAACGGCGCAAGGTCGTGCGCGGGGAGAGTGCGTGGAGGGAGAGTGGCGAGGAAGGGAGAGCGAAGGTGGAGAGAGAAAGGAAGGAGGGAGGAGGAAGATACGTAGGGAAAGTAAAGTCGAGAGAAAACTAAACTATTTACTAAATTGTTTTTATTTTTATTTTACGAGGCAAAGCCCACCGAGCTACGTAGCTATTTTTCAGAAGCGACCTGGTCATCACAAACGATAGCTTAATGGATAGACGACAAAATACTCGAAACGCGCGATGTTGATTCTAAATGTGGAGGGAAAAACCGGAGGACCCGGAGAAAAATCCACGCGACCACCACGGGGAGAGACACACGCAAACTCAAAATATACAGCAGGCGTCAGGGCTGCGATAAAACCCACGACTTCCTGTATACCAGGCGAGGTAGTTAACATCTCCTAGCCACCGTGATGATGATGATGAGAGAGAGAGAGAGACGCAGATTCAAAATATACAGCAGCAGGCGTCAGGGCCGCGATCGAACCCACGACTTCCTGTATACCACGCGAGGTAGTTAACATCTCCTAGCCACCGTGATGATGATGATGAGAGAGAGAGACGCAAACTCAAAATATACAGCAGGCGTCAGGGTCGGAATAGAACCCACGACGTCCTGCACACCAGGCGAGGCAGTGAACATCTCCTTGCCACTGCGACGATAGGAGGAGAGAGGATCAACAAGGGGGGGGGACGGACACAGACGGCAAGTCGAGAGAGAAGAGAGAGTGGGACAAAGCGTCAGGTAAGGAGAGAGTGCAAGGGAGAGAGACAGGGTAGATAAGGGAGAGCATAGACAGGAAGAGGGAGGTGGGGGGGGGAGGTGGGTAGGGGTGGTGCGGGGGGGGCGGCCGTACCTCGCAGTGCTGGCCAGGAACCCTGCCACCCTGCGTGTGCTCGGGGCGGTAGTACCACAGCAGGCTCATGGTGAGCTCCCCTGCACACACAAACAGCACCACGGTTCCCCCACTAAAGCCTCGCACGATGCGATCGGCACGGGTGCGGATGTCGGGTGCGAAAGACCTTCAACATACACACCATAAGTACGAGCAATCCTCAAGGGCAGAAAAGCACATAATGGTGTGTGGGTTTATTTGTGGCTCGCCTAGTTGTTTTGCCGTGGCCATAGCGCCAGTTTAGCAGTCACTTTAGTACCTGTTAAGCCGTGGTTATTTCACCGGTTTAGCCGTAGTTATTGCACCGGATCACTCCCGTTAGCCACGGCTACCGCACCTGTTTTGGGGTCGTCCCACAGCGCCGAGATCTTGGCGACGTACGGCAGGCACTTGCGACGCGGCCCCGACCTCAGCAGCACGCAGTCGCGCACCGCGATGACGTCACCGCCGCGTCGGACGGCGCCGTAGCAGCGCCTCGGCACCAGCTCCAGTTCGCCCTGCTCCCCAACGGAGGCACGGACCACGCTGCGTCATCACCGATGACCACGCTGCGTCATCACCGATGATCAGGGGCGGTTTCTTCATTAGGGCGATTGGGCGACGCACCACCAATGTCATTCAACCACAGAGTCACGCTAGCCGTCACTGTGCCACTGGATATAGTCCAATCAGCGTCATGTCACGTTCTGTAGAGTACCGCCTCTTTTTGGGCGATTTCACTCCGGCTGAGAATCGCCCCGAGTGGCCCCATAGACTTACATTCAAAGATGTTTTTTTTCGACCGGGGGGCGCTGCAATGCATTCTCTATGGCTTCCGGGAGGGCTCGCCCTAACGTGCTTACGTCATCATACGTAAGCACGTTTCATCCAACAATATAATTTGTCGCCACCTAGTGGAATCTTTAATAAAATAAACTTGAGTGGATTGTATTAATAGTGAGTATAGAAACAAAAAAGATGTATTGTAAGAGTCACTTTATTTTTCATTAATATTAAAGAAGTGAAGTTGCCTTTACATGCTTAAGCTGTTAATTTATCCATTGCATGGGTGGACCTTATCCTTATCAATCATCCAGACATTTGCCCCCCCTGAGAGAATTTGCAGGAGCCGCCACTGCCGATGACCACACTGCGTCATCACTGCAGCAGCAGCAGTGGCGGCTTTTGGCGAAGCAGTCGAACAGAGACGGTCGCCGCGTCGCGCGCCAACAAGATGCGCTGCTTCCGCGGCCGTCTGGAACGCTCTTCCTTCCGAGCCACTGGAGCTGTGCACTTCTAAATCATCGTCGAGATTGCCAAACTCATTTCTTTAGACCTGCTTCTTCTGTTTAGTTTATTGTCCTTTCCCCCGTACCTCTCCAATTAGCACCGTTGCCTACGTACGGTGTGACAGAAGTTCAACATACATGCTCTTGCAGGGGCAGGACGTGGCAACTTTCAGGAAATGCAGAGTACAGATCGTTCTCCTATAACGTCGCAACTAATGTACTTGGGAACGCATTTTTGTTATGGATCTAACGCGATCGAGTGAATGGAACTACGTCGCACGAGTAGCAACAAGCGTTTGTGCGGCTGCCTCGGCGAAGCATCATCACACGAGGCAGTGGGATGCTGCTGGATGCTTCTAGATGCTTCTAGATGCTACCCACGCGCCTCGCTCTTTGTTCGGCCTGCGTACACATCTCACGCGTTATGGCGGACTGTGCGCTTTACCCTATATTATATGTCACCTATTATCACGAGATTTTCCCACAGCGCAGTGTTCTCCAGGAGTGCAACTAATATCGCGTTATAGGTGTGCCAAGCGTTTAAAAGGCGATACCTAGGAGGGTGGGTAACAGTTCTGAATTCAATTACAATGCTGTCCTTCGTAACATATCGCAATTTCAACATTATTGTAATTTAGACCAATAAATCTGTTGCTCCAATCATAATTATACGTGAACCAAGGTCATGATCATGAATCGCATCGAACCGTGCACGCGCTGGAAATTTTAAAGTTTATTCAAATCGATGTAATAGCCGCCAACGCATACGGTTTTACCTCGTATACTTGTACAGGGAAATTGAGTTTTCATGTCCATACGGACTTTGTAGGATGAACGTTGAAATTTCTAAGGGCACGGGGTGACCAATAGGGTCTGACTTGGTCTGTAATAAGGTAGGCACTGATAAGGGGTTGACAGGTATGCGATATTGCATTTAGTTATACTGTAATTGAGTAGATGGCACTGCACTCGGCAAAACAAATATCTAATTGCTTGCTCAAGAAAGAATTCTGTTTTTGCAAAAAATGTGAAATTACTCAACTGACTTTAATGGAAAGAGTTGTTATTTCTTCATAAAGGAAAGCCCAGTCAATGTGCATGTGTGCAAGTAAATGATGCATAGACAAAGCTCCCCCGTATAACCTTAACAGACTGTTTGGGCAAGGGCCGTTAGCGAGCACCTATGAAGGCCGGCACGGCACACGAGGGGGTGTGGGTGGCCAGCACCACGCCCGGCCGCCTTTGTCTCCCCAGTGGCGATGTTCACTACACATCGCACCAGGTACGCATTTGAGGCCGAGTCGACCTAGGGGAGGCTCCAGGACCGGTTCAAATATTCGTCACTGGAGGGGGAATCGAATTCGGGACACCGGGTTCGTAGCGGAGCGCACTAACCGCTACGCTACCTGGTGGCCAGGCGTGGTGCTGGCCACGCAACTCCTCATGAAGGCCGGCACGGCACGGCACACAGGTGCTACTCGCTAACAGCACTTGCCCAAACAGTCTGTTATAAGTCTATTAAGGGGGATCCTTGTCTTGATGTGGCCTCAAAGTGCACCTGGTATGGCACAAACGCTGTCATGGCGTCACCAGTCGTGAAAGGCAGTTATTGTTGTGCGCGTGTGTGGGTTGCGCGCGAGGTGTTTTGTGGGGTGCGTGTGGGTGCGTGTGGGTGCGTGTGGGTGCGTGTGGGTGCGTGTGGGTGCGTGTGGGGTGCGTGTGGGGTGCGTGTGGGGTGCGTGTGGGTGCGTGTGGGTGCGTGTGGGTGCGTGTGGGTGCGTGTGGGTGCGTGTGGGTGCGTGTGGGTGCGTGTGGGTGCGTGTGGGTGCGTGTGGGTGCGTGTGGGTGCGTGTGGGTGCGTGTGGGTGCGTGTGGGTGCGTGTGGGTGCGTGTGGGTGCGTGTGGGTATGTGTGGGTGCGTGTGGGAGCATGTGGGTGCGTGTGGGTGCGTGTGGGTGCGTGTGGGTATGTGCGGGGTGCGTGCGGGGTGCGTGCGGGGTGCGTGCGGGGTGCGTGTGGGTGCGTGTGGGTGCGTGCGAGTGCGTGCGGGTGCGTGCGAGTGCGTGCGAGGTGCGAGTAGGCGTACCGCCACGTAGACGGCCTTCTCGTAGGCCTCCCCGACTGGCACCCAGCCGTTGGTCTGCCTCCGTGCCGTGTAGCTCAGCGCCACCTCGCACACCAGCGACGCCGCCGACGCCGACGCCGCCGCCGCCGCCGCGCCCCTCGCTCCCCGCATGCCCCCGTGCGAGCCCCGCTTGTCCGCACCCCGGCCGGCGCCCGCCCTACTACCGCCGACGGCCGGTACGAGCAACAGCCCGGTGCCCGGGTGGTCCCGGCCGCCCGGTGACGGCAGCTCCGGGTAGGGGCTGGCAGGGATCGACCGTGCCGGGTACAGGGCCAGCGGCCGCGGCAAACCCGACGCCGGGCGGGCACTGGGGTGCCGCGCTTGCGCCGCACGGCAACCGTAGCCGCCGTGCTCCTCCTCATTGTCCTCGGTGTCCTCGGGGTGCGAGTGCTGCTGTTTGTGTTGGTGGTGGTGATGCTGCTGGTGGTGGTGCCGGTGGTGCTGCTGGTGCCGACGGTGGCGGTGGTGGTGCTGGTGGTTCGTCCGCCTGCCGTCGGAGCTGCCGTTGGCGCGCGTGCCGTACACGACCGACTCGGCGTGCGGCAGCTTCACCAGGCAGACTCGCGCCGCCCGCGGGTCCACGGCGCTGCCGACCGCCGCCTTCCCCACCGGCCCCGCGCCGGCGCCGGCCTCCTCCCCGACGCGGCACCCGCACCCACACCCCCACTCACGGCAGGGCTCGCACGGCGCGTACGACGGAGCGGCGCTCGCCGACGGACGCGGGAACCGCACCGGCGACTGCCGCCGCTCTCCGGCGTGGCCGCCGCCCGCCCTGCCGGCGCCGGCCGAACCCGGGTTGGCGCGCGTCGCCCGCCCGCCCCGCCCGGCCGGCCTGCACGGCTTCGCCGGGGCGACGACCGAGGGGCCTGGATCAGAGCGGGAGCGCACGAGCTCGCGGCCGTTGGCGCCGCCGGCACGGCGCGGGCGCTTGCGCCGACTTGCGGCGCCGGCGTTCTTAGCTGTTCTGCTGCCGCGGGCGTCATTGCCGCCGCCGCCGCCGCCCCCGGCGCCGCGCCGCTTTGGCGCCATCCCCCCGCGGCCGCAGCCCCCCGCCGCGCCGGAGCCGTCCAGGCTGCACTGGCGGCGGCTGCGCTTGGCCGGCGGTTTCACCGACGACGACGACGACGACGCCAGGTTGGGCAGGTCGCGCTCCAGGAGGGCGGTGACGAGCGCCTCAGCGTTAAGACTCGCCAGACGGCGCTTGCGCGGCTCGAAGTAGAAGTGGCACGGAAAGAGGTCCCAGGAGCCCTGCTTGAGAACGAGGACGTCGCCCTCGGCGCCGCCGCCGCCTGCCGATCGTCCGCCACCCGGTTCCGCTGCCGCGCCCTCCGGGGCCGCCTCGCTCGGAGGCCCTCCTGCGCCCGTGGACGCGACGGCCACGGCCGTCGTTTTCCCGGGGCGCCAGGACGCGTTCCGCGCGCCGCGCCCGCTCGCCGCGGCGGCCGTGGCAACGGCGGCCGGCGCGGGCGAGGCCGTGGAGGCGGCCGTGGCGGCGGCGGGGGCGCGGCGAGGCGGTGCGGCGCGCCGGGCCGCCGGCGCCGCGCGGCACGGCGGGGCCTCCAGGCCCAGCATCGCGTCGTGCGCGCGCTCGGCGGCGGCGCTGGCGGCGCTCCCCGCCAAGCTCTCGGCGAACTCCAGGCCGGGGGCGTAGTCGCCGACGGAGGTGGCGGCCGCCGGGGCCGCGCCGCTCCTCTCGTCGCCTTGGGGAGGGGGGGGCCCCTCGCCCCCCCAGCCTGTCTCGCCGGTTGTCATGGAGACCGGGCAGTGCTGCAGCGATGCCATGCCTCATAGGAATCTGAAAGGACCGGCAAGAGGGTTTGCGGGCACAGGTGAAGGGCGTTCGCGCGAACGTGTGATAACAGCAACTTGGTATTATACGGCTGCCCCCTTGGGGAGCAGCAACTGACCCCCCCCCCCCCAGGGAGCAGCCACTGCCCCAGCCAGGGACCTCCGGCTGCGCTGTCCTTTGACCCTACGGAGCACGGTTGCTGCTGGAGGCGACACGCAGGTTTGCACCTCGGTGGCAGAACAAACGCCGCACCCTCTCTTCCCCTCCCCGCCAAAGAGAAGGGAGCGCGCGGATCGCTCACTTCTCAGGATGCTCGCTCCTCGCGCCTCCCTGCACGTACGTTGCCATGCGGCGAGTCAATTGGAGCACACCGGGGCTAGTGCTGACGCTGTTTCGTCAACGCTGTTCCAAGCTTTCGATTAGGCTGTGCCAGCAGTGCACTGGAAGCGGTCGATGGTGCTTCCGTAGCGGTGACAATTTTTGTTACGTCCCTTGTGGCGCTGGTTCTTAGAAGCTTCAGAAAGCTTCTACAAGCCACACATCTTCTGGGCACCTCGCTCAAAAAACACTAAAACGCCGGAGACAATAGCGGAGGAGCCAAGTCATGTGGGGGTGGTGCATCACTACCTGTTCCTAAGATTTATTAAATAACTAGCATGGATGCTATTAAACTATTTTTTATTTTACTCGGTAAGGCCCCGCTGAGCTATGGAGCTCTTTTTCAGAAGCGACCTGGCTATCACAAATGGTAGCTCTACGAAGTGGCTCATCAACACGTGGACATTTACAGCAGACAAATACTCTAAACGCGCGACGTCGATTCTAAACGTGGAGGGAAAAACCGGAGGACCCGGAGAAAAACCCACGCGACCACCACGGGGAGAGAGACACGCAAACTCCAAATATACAGCAGCAGGCGTCAGGGGTTGGGATCGAACCCACGACCACCTGCATACCAGGCGAGGTAGTTAACATCTCCTAGCCACCGTTGACGCCCCATAGGTGCCCAGCCACAGATCTACTTGCGATGGACTGGAACGTGTCGGGCGGCCACCATGTATCAGAGGTCGCAACCAGGTACCCGATACCCGTACCCTACCCGATACCCGGCTACCCGTACCCGGCCGGGCCGGGTACGGGTAGCCGTTTGCGACCCTGGTGCGGCCGGGTACGGATATTGACCCTGGCCAATGACCGAGCAACCCAACGTTCCTACCAGCTCCCTCCGCAGGAATGTGTTCAATACCGCTTACTTTGTTTGTTCTTCTTCCGTTAAGCTTTAACTCTTGTGGCGCTACGTTGTGGAAGCTGAGCAAATGCGATTTCAATTGTTTAAGGAAGCAAGTCCAAAAGCTGGACATTCAAATACTGAATCCCGAGCCCCACGTGCCGAGGGCACTGCGACGTCACTGCGCGTCACGTGTTGCCTGGGGGAATAAGGGGGCAGCACCTGAGGCGTCACCCACGTGCACACGTCACTTTTACTGGTGGAGAAGGGCTGGGTGGGGAGGGGAGGGTGGGGAGGGGCTGGTCACCCCGTGGTGCCCTTATAAAACTCAACGTTTAACCTAGGAACCACCTGGTTCCACCAGCCCACAGGGGATTATTGTGTCCGTCCGTCCATCGTGCATCCAAAAATGGGAGGGGTGGGGTTGGGTGGAGAAGGGCTGGGTGGGGAGGGGAGGGTGGGGAGGGGCTGAGTGGGGCTGGGAGGGGGGTGGGAGGGGTGGGGAGGGGCTGGGTGGGGAGGGGCTGGGTGGGGAGGGGCTGGGTGGGGCTGTGAGGGGCTGGGTGGGGAGGAGCTGGGTGGGGAGGGTGGGGTGGGGCTGGGTGGGGGGTGGGAGGGGTGGGGCTGGGTGGGGAGGGGCTGGTCACCCCGTGGTGCCCTTATAAAACTCAACGTTTAACCTACTCACGCTGGCTTGTGCCCGCCCTCACAGTCGGGCATATTTGCGGAGTACACCACGCCGCCGTTGACCCTGGCCATTGACCGAGCAACCCAACGTTCCTACCAGCTCCTTCCGCAGGAATGTGTTTAATACCGCTTACTTTGTTCGTTCTTCTTCCGTTGTTTGTTCTAATTTGCCCCAAAATGCACGCGTTGACCACCACTGGTAGGGCCCAAAATGTATGGGGAGGAAAAGACTGAACGGTGAATGCTAACAAAATAAGACTCTGTATTTGTGTTTTTATGTTTTACTGCGACAAACCCATACCTGTCAACCCCGTATCAGTACGCCCTACCTTACTACAGACTAATTCAGACCTTATTGGTCACCACGTGCCCTTATACATCTCAACGTTCATCCTAAAAAGCCCCATCACAAGGGAGAAACACAAACAAATAGACAATCACCACTACGACACTCACCACTAGTGCACTCAACACTACACTCACCACAAGTACTCACCACTGCATACCTGTCAACCCCTTCATCAGTGCCCTATCATACTACAGATCAATTCAGACCTTATTGGTCACCCCGTGCCCTTACAAATCTCAACGTTCATCCTACAAAGTCACATCAAACAAACGGACATAAAAATGTTTTGCCCGTATTAAAACGGCTGTACGCCCGTATGGACCTGCAAACTAAATTTCCCTGTAAACGAATACGGGTAAACCGCATGGCTTGCCAGGTATGTAAACCTATACTACGTACTTAGTTATATTGCGTGACCAGTACTTTGGTCTGTGTAGTCAAAGGGGTTGACGTCATCTCCAAGGTGAGTGGAGGGTGCCTTCGAGATGACGTCTTCACTAGAAGCAGCACAGCATCTGGCAAGTCTAAGGGACATTTGTTTTTGGCAGTATCAAAATGTTGACATTAGAAGAGTAGGCTTTAGCCTTTCTGGCACATGAAATAGGTGTTAAGATACTAATAGGGTTTTTCCCCTTTTTTTTCTGGCAACAAAACTGACACCTTTTGCATGGAATCATGTTTACATTAACCACAATACTTGCAGTCAAATGCAAACAAAAAACAATACTCTAATAACTTATGCATTGTCCTTGAAACTGATTGGTCCACACCAGAGACAGCTTTCTTTAGAGCCTAGTCTCAAATGGTGTTCGACCAGATGACGCCAAAAGGCACAGAGTATTGTTTTTGGTTTGCATTTGACTGCGAGTATTGTGGTTAATGTAAACATGATTCCTTGCAAAAGGTGTCAGTTTTGTTGCCAGAAAAAAAGGGTACAAACCCTATTAGTATATTTTGGTACTGGCAAAGGAGGTCCCATGATGAGGTGTTAAGATGTTCGAACAAATCGATACCTATTATAAGACATCAAGTCTGCATTAAACACACATAGCAAAACATGCAAACAAATATGATCTGATAATACATGCATTGTCTTTGGAATTGATAGCCCTACACGAGGAACAGTTTTCTTTATGGGATTGCCTCACCACCGGTGTTAGACCAGGAAACGCCAAAAGACGAACACTACAAAGGCAATGCAAATATTAACCCCATAACCTCGGGTTTGTCAAAAGAACCAAAGAGTAACCTCGGGTTGTTTGGATATTTTTGCCACATGTGTGGTGAATGCAGACTTGATGGCTTGCCATAGGTAACTACTTTGTATTTGAACATATTAACACAACTCCTGCTTTATTGCCAGAAAGGGGTAAAAACCTATTCTTCTTATTTGGCAAGTCCTGTAACCACGTGGTTCTATCTCTGCACCTCACTCCTTGTGCATCTGCTATCTCTCCCATCTTTCCTCAACACACCTCTCATCTCTGATAACATCACTCTCGTATCTTTTATATCTATTCCCCCTCCTATCTTACAGAGGTCGCAATCGGGTACCCGATACCCGTACCCTACCTGATACCCGGCTGCCCGTACCCAGCCGGGTACGGGTACGGGTACCCGTTTGCGACCCTGGTGCGGCCGGGTACGGGTAGACCGTGAGTCACTGGTGAGTAACTGTTTGTCACTCATATCCCAACGTCTTGTCTCTTCTCACAATTCAAGTTCCTAGAATCAACCCACCCGCGCCTGCAACATGGCTTCATCCCAGAGGTCGCAATCGGGTACGGGTACCCGTTTGCGACCCTGGTGCGGCCGGGTATGGGTACGGGTAAGGAATCAAATCCTGTTTGCGACCTCTGCTATCTTATCTAAATACCTCAACTCATTCTCATGTGATTATGTTTGTCACCTACATATTCTTCTAATTGCGTCTCCTTTCTATTCTACCTCATCTGGTTAGATCTATCTCCTACCTCTTTTGGATCTATTGTGAATATATCCCTCTCTTTGACAACTTTTAAAACACATCTATCTTCTACTGCTTCTGAATAAATCTCTCTCCTATCTCTTATAATAATACATCTATCCTAATACATTTTATTTCATATGAATGTATCAATATTCAAACGTCTTCAACATTGTCTGAAAATCTCCCATCACCTTCCTCTTGTATCTCATCTACTACTAAACTATAAACCAGTTTAACTCCTATCCTGATACATCTCCAACCATCAACTCAATCTTGTTTCAACAGATCCATCAATAATTATCGGTTCCTCTCTTCTATCGCACCCGGATACAACTTTTAACATATTCTTTTTTTCTGGTTAACTCTCCAATAAGCTCGCTATTTTCAACGCCATCAAAATAAACCCGTCACATCGTTAAATCACGTTGACCCTTCTTTGATCCCACCTCTCTAACCCACCTGTATATTTTCTCCCGCTTCACACACACATACACACATCAGTCTTTTTCCTTCGTCTGTAAATCGCCTTGACATCCCTGCGTATATGACACGAGATCAAAACGGATCATTATTATCTCTTGCGTCGCATGAAAAAGCTAGTGTTGCCTACAACTACTCTCATCTCACTACATCAGTACATCTCAATGACTCGCCTACACCCGTCGTTTTACAATTCCTCTTGCCGTGCGTCCACATCTCTCATTTTTGCATCTCTCTGCATCCATCCGTTGTCCACGTCTCTTGCAGATGTTGCCGCATCTGTCGTTTCGCTACATCCATCCGCTTTTCGCCTCTCTCGAAGATGTTACTGCATCTCTCATCCGGTGCGCCTTGTGACCATCACATCTCTCGATTCTCTTGTTTTCACCTCTCACCTGGCCGTGCCCGTATTTCGTCTTGGGGGTCAAATGCGACCAGATCGTTATTGAACGTATTAAGTATTTGCTTCGAGTGCACCCTTACAAATAACCACGCTGCACTCTAACCTTGAGCACCTCACATTTTATCCTTAAAACACCCTGCGCACAACTAACTCTGCAGCAACTTACCATTAACCCGTCATGCGCTTTAACCTTACAACACCCTGCACAACTAACTCTGCAGCACCTTACCATTAACCCGTCATGCGCTTTAACCTGACAACACCATGCACAACTAACTCTGCAGCACCTTACCATTAACCCGTCATGCGCTTTAACCTGACAACACCATGCACAACTAACTCTGCAGCACCTTACCATTAACCCGTCATGCACATTAACCTTACAACACCATGCACAACTAACTCTGCAGCACCTTACCATTAACCCACCATGCGCTTTAACCTTACAACACCATGCAATCGTTTCTTACCACCCGACCACTTGCCTCCTAAACCACCCTGCACCTGAAGCTTGCACCAACACGACTGGTCTTTTTACATTTCACTTGTACTCAAAACTCAAATCAGCCTCAGCTACCACACGGAAAAAGCACCCTGTATTTCACCTTAAAACACTCCGCGCTTGATCTTTAACCGGTACCGACCCAGTACGCAGAACCTGCTGGTGCCAACAAGTGTCACAGAGGCACCCAGCAGTGGCAGATGACGGTGGCAACACCGCCACCAACACCGAGTGCCAATAAAGACCCCACTGACCGTGGCAGTCTGCACCCATCCTGAAAGGCGTGCGTTGAGGAACCACAACCGCTCTTTGGTAAATAAAACCCATAAAACTTGACACACCTAGTGACACTAACCCAAACCACCACCCACCCCCTCGCTAACACCGAGGCATCGGAACTAATTTCAAACCCAGCATTGCCATGGGACGTGTCAACAATCATTTAGCGGCACAGCAATTTCGGCCGGGCAGCTATTTCACGACAAACGCTCCCCACACGCACACAATTTACGAACACGCACGTTGAGCGAAAACGAACCCGTCTCGACTTGCATCGGTGGTGTCACAATTTATCTTTTCCCAACTCACTCCGACACGCTCTCTGCATCACACTCTGTGCCACTAATGTGCAACTACTGAAAGTGTGCGTGTGGGTGGAAAAATATATTTAACAGCTCATCGGATTCCGACAGGATGAATAAATATTCCGATTCGAACGATTCTGATTAAACACACGGCGTCAAACGCTGTGCTCCTGAAAACTGTCACCCCCTAAAGACTGTATCGTGTCACCCTCTGTGTGTCGCCCTCTGTGTGTCACCCTCTGTGTCACCCTCTGTGTCACCCTCTGTGTCACCCTCTGTGTCACCCTCTGTGTCACCCTCTGTGTCACCCTCTGTGTCACCCTCTGTGTCACCCTCTGTGTCACCCTCTGTGTCACCCTCTGTGTCACCCTCTGTGTCACCCTCTGTGTCACCCTCTGTGTCACCCTCTGTGTCACCCTCTGTGTCACCCTCTGAGTATCACCCTCTGAGTGTCACCCTCTGTGTGTCACCCTCTGAGTGTCACCCTAACCCTCTCTACACTCCTGATCCTGGCAGTGTCACCCTCTGCCGCATTTCTATCTGTCACCAACACGACTGGCCACAACTCCGCGCCACTAACACCGATAGACACACAAAACACACACACACACCCCTCTAGCTTGGCTAACGATGTCACCCACAATCTGTGCCACTAATACTGCCGGCACGTGGCTTGCCACCGTTCACTCCGCACCATTCTGCCACAAAGACAAAGACCCCCCCCCCTCCACCGTGTAGCCTCAACAGACTGTAGGGGCAAGTGCTGTTAGCGAGTGGCAGCACCTACGAAGACCGACACGGCACACGAGGGGGGGGTGGGTGGCAAGCACTACGCCCGACCGCCTTTGTCTCCCCAGTGGCGATGTTTACTACCCACCGCACCGGGTACTCACTTGAGGCCGAGTAGACCTAGGAGGGGGGAAAAGGGAGGCCCAGGACCGGTTCAGATATTCGCACGCCGATGTTGACCGCGAGCTGAGAATCGATCTCGGGTTCGTATCTCGCAACGCCGCTTACACCACCACACCACCACCGCTCCCCATACTCTTGCCACACGTACCGTGTCACTGGAACACGCTCTTACCTCTCCCCCACACACAATCTGTGGTATCGACAGGCAACACTGTGGTATCGACAGGCAACACTGTGGTATCGACAGGCAACAGTGGTATCGACAGGCAACACTGTGGCACTGCCAGAGCATCACTCTGTGTGCCGCTAACACCGTCAGTGACGACGCCCTTGACAGTCCACCAAATCTGGTGTCACAAGTGACACACGCTGCAAGCACCGTCACAATGTGCCACTACCACTGTGCCACACTCGCCCCCAAGTCTAAATTACTACCAGAGTCAAGTCACCGTGCCACACTCACACCATGTGCCACACCGTGCCACACTCACGCCATGTGCCACACCGTGCCACACTCACGCCACGTGCCACACCGTGCCACACTCACACCACGTGCCACACCGTGCCACACTCACGCCACGTGCCACACCGTGCCACACTCACGCCACGTGCCACACCGTGCCACACTCACGCCATGTGCCACACCGTGCCACACTCACGCCATGTGCCACACCGTGCCACACTCACGCCACGTGCCACACCGTGCCACACTCACGCCATGTGCCACACCGTGCCACACTCACACCATGTGCCACACCGTGCCACACTCACGCCACGTGCCACACCGTGCCACACTCACACCACGTGCCACACCGTGCCACACTCACGCCACGTGCCACACCGTGCCACACTCACGCCACGTGCCACACCGTGCCACACTCACACCACGTGCCACACCGTGCCACACTCACACCATGTGCCACACCGTGCCACACTCACGCCATGTGCCACACCGTGCCACACTCACGCCACGTGCCACACCGTGCCACACTCACACCATGTGCCACACCGTGCCACACTCACGCCATGTGCCACACCGTGCCACACTCACGCCACGTGCCACACCGTGCCACACTCACGCCACGTGCCACACCGTGCCACACTCACGCCATGTGCCACACCGTGCCACACTCACGCCATGTGCCACACCGTGCCACACTCACACCACGTGCCACACCGTGCCACACTCACGCCACGTGCCACACCGTGCCACACTCACGCCATGTGCCACACCGTGCCACACTCACGCCACGTGCCACACCGTGCCACACTCACGCCACGTGCCACACCGTGCCACACTCACACCACGTGCCACACCGTGCCACACTCACACCATGTGCCACACCGTGCCACACTCACGCCATGTGCCACACCGTGCCACACTCACACCACGTGCCACACCGTGCCACACTCACGCCATGTGCCACACCGTGCCACACTCACGCCATGTGCCACACCGTGCCACACTCACGCCATGTGCCACACCGTGCCACACTCACGCCATGTGCCACACCGTGCCACACTCACGCCATGTGCCACCACTGCTGCTGCGCCACTCCCACCACCAATAACTACGGCGCGTGTGGCCACGTGAACCTCTCTGTGCCACCGTCACCGTGACACATTCACACCGTGTGCCACACCATGTGCCACGGCATGTGCCACGGCATGTGCCACACCATGTGCCACGGCATGTGCCACGGCCTGTGCCACGGCATGTGCCACACCATGTGCCACGGCATGTGCCACACCATGTGCCACGGCATGTGCCACGGCCTGTGCCACACCGTGTGCCACGGCCGACTCCCGTGTCACGGTGAAGCCGCTACCGTCCAAGCCGCCTTCGTCCCGGGCCCTGGGGCAGAGCCGCCACCACCACCCCCCCTACACCCCCCCACACCGCCCCCCCACACCGCCCCCCCACACCACCACCGCCCCCCACACCACCAAAACCACCACCCCCACACCACCCCCCACACCGCCCCCCCACACCACCCCCCCACACCACCACCGCCCCCCACACCACCAAAACCACCACCCCCCCTACACCCCCCCACACCGCCCCCCCACACCGCCCCCCCACACCACCCCCCCACACCACCACCGCCCCCCACACCACCAAAACCACCACCCCCACACCACCCCCCACACCGCCCCCCCACACCACCCCCCCACACCACCACCGCCCCCCACACCACCAAAACCACCACCCCCCCTACACCTCCACCACCCCCCCTACACCCCCCCCACACCACCCCCACATCACCACCACCACCCCCCCACACCACCACCCCCGCAAGCCCCCCCCCACACCACCACCCCCCCAAGCCCCCCCCCCACACCACCACCCCCCCAAGCCCCCCCCACACCACCACCCCCCCAAGCCCCCCCCCCCACACCCCCCACACCACCACCCCCCACACCTCCATCACCACCCCCCCTACACCCCCCCACCACCGCCCCCCACCACCAGCCCCGTGTCTCCCGCCCCCCTCTCGGCCGCGATCATCACCAACCACCCACCACCACCATCATCATCGCAACAACACCCCCTGCTGCTAACCAAGCCGAAGCCACCGCTGCTGACGAACAACAACAACAAGAAGAACAAGAAGACGATGTTAACGATGTTAGACAACCACAACGACGACGACGATGATGATGATGTTACCCGCACCTCATCGCTCAGCGCTGCCGCCCGCCCGCCATGTTGTGTCGCGTACAGTGGCGTCACGCGGCACCACCACCCCGCTCCGCCCTTATATAACAACAATAATAATTATATAATGCACACACACACACACACACATCTTTATTTAGTTTTATTCTTCTTAGTCTTCTTAGTCTTCCGATTACCGCCGCTAACTCGCCAACACTTGGCCATGAGACACGGCGGCCGTGTGCGAGGTTCAACACCTACTTGGGGTGATGATGATGGTGGTGATGGTGGTGGTGATGGTGATGATGGTGGTGGTGATGGTGGTGGTGATGGTGATGATGGTGGTGGTGGTGGTGATGGTGATGATGGTGGTGGTGATGGTGGTGGTGGTGATGATGGTGGTGGTGATGATGGTGGTGGTGGTGGTGCTGATGGTGGTGGTGATGGTGATGGTGGTGATGGTGGTGGTGGTGATGATGGTGATGGTGGTGATGATGGTGGTGATGATGGTGGTGGTGCTGATGGTGGTGCTGATGCTGATGGTGGTGCTGATGGTGGTGGTGATGGTGGTGGTGATGGTGATGATGGTGGTGGTGATGGTGATGATGATGGTGGTGATGATGCAGATGGTGGTGCAGATGGTGGTGCTGATGGTGGTGGTGATGGTGGTGATGATGGTGGTGGTGGTGATGGTGGTGGTGGTGCTGATGGTGGTGGTGATAGTGGTGGTGGTGATGATGGTGGTGGTGGTGCAGATGGTGGTGGTGATGGTGGTGATGGTGGTGGTGATGGTGGTGGTGGTGATGGTGGTGATGGTGGTGGTGATGGTGATGATGGTGGTGATGGCGATGATGGTGGTGATGGTGGTGATGATGCAGATGGTGGTGCAGATGGTGGTGCTGATGGTGGTGGTGATGGTGGTGGTGATGGTGATGATGGTGGTGGTGATGGTGATGATGATGGTGGTGGTGATGGTGGTGATGATGCAGATGGTGGTGCAGATGGTGGTGCTGATGGTGGTGGTGATGGTGGTGATGATGGTGGTGGTGGTGATGGTGGTGGTGGTGCTGATGGTGGTGGTGATAGTGGTGGTGGTGATGATGGTGGTGGTGGTGCAGATGGTGGTGCTGATGGTGGTGGTGGTGATGGTGGTGGTGGTGCTGATGGTGGTGGTGATGGTGGTGATGATGCAGATGGTGGTGCAGATGGTGGTGCTGATGGTGGTGGTGATGGTGGTGCTGATGGTGGTGGTGATGGTGGTGGTGGTGCTGATGGTGGTGGTGGTGATGGTGGTGGTGATGCTGGTGGTGATGATGGTGGTGGTGATGATGGTGGTGGTGGTGATGATGGTGGTGGTGGTGGTGGTGATGGTGGTGGTGGTGATGATGGTGGTGATGGTGGTGATGGTGATGATGCTGGTGGTGGTGGTGATGGTGGTGATGATGCTGATGGTGGTGCTGATGGTGGTGATGATGGTGGTGGTGATGATGCTGATGGTGGTGATGATGAGAGCGGGCTTACGACGCCTTGGAAAAGTCACGCTGCTGCTGAGGCTTCTGCTTCTTATGCTCCTCCTTCTTCTTACACTTCTGCTGCTGCTCTTACTGCTGCTGCTGCTACTTCTGCTGCTGCTCTTACTGCTGCTGCTACTTCTGCTGCTGCTCTTACTGCTGCTGCTACTTCTGCTGATGTTCTTACTGCTGCTGCTGCTACTTCTGCTGCTGCTCTTGCTGCTGCTGCTACTTCTGCTGCTGCTCTTACTGCTGCTGCTACTTCTGCTGCTGTTCACTCTCCTGCTCCTACTTCTGTTCCCTCTCCTGCTGCTGCTGCTCCTCCTTCTTACACTTCTCCTGCTGCTCCTTCTCCTGCTGCTGCTTCTTCTTGTTCTGCGCCTTCTCCTGCTGCTACTTCCTCTTCTGCTTCTCCTCCTTCTGCTGATTCTGCTGCTGCTCCTGCTGCTGCTCCTGCTGCTGCTTCATCCTTAACTGGCACGCCGAGAGCTACTCTTCTCTCGCCCTCTCTCTCTCTCTGTTGATATATTTGTTATATTATTCACATTTACGTACTCCTGCTGATCCAACGACTACTTGCAACTACTACTACTGCTTACAACTACTTACAACCATTAAAACTTGCTCCTGCCGTGTTATTACTGTGGCCACCAACGCTTTGAAGTTGCACGCATCTTGTGTTTTTTTTAATGTAGCGTATGTGTATAACAATACCGTGTTAATATAAAGAGATCTAATAGCAAACGAGCATGCTTGTACATTGAATATCACGGCCACGTATCGAATCATACGGTCCTGTACTGAATACTACAATCTTGTATTGAATACAGTCCTGTATTGAATACTAGTCTTGTATTGAATGCTACGGTCCTGGATTGAATACCAGTCTGGTATTGAATACAATACTGTATTTAATACTCCAGTCCTGTATTAAATATCACAGTCTGGTATTGAATACCAGAGTCATGTATTGAATACATCAATGTATTGAATACTACATCAATTTATTGAATACCACAGTCCTGCCTTGAATACATCAATGTATTGAATACTGCAGTAATGTATTGAATATTACAATCTTGTCGTTAAAACTCCAGTCCTGTACTACCAACTGCAATGTGCCCTGAACCCACGTTGGCACCATGCACTTTCAACACAGTACGTTTGTATTCAAGTTCATTTATTAGGTATAGCCCTGTGAGCCATTCAGCTCTTGAATCGGGGGCAACCGCAACAAACAAAAAACAAAAACATGAACAAAAACATCTTAAAGTGAATATGTGACCAAGTGCAAACAGAAAATCCAAGAAAAGACAGCAAAAATATTGCAGAAATAACACCGTACACCAACGCTGTGTGCAAAAATCCCAGTGGGATGCAAGTCAAACAACAACAGCAACCACAAGACAGCTTAGATTAAGGCCATCAGTCTAACTCTGTACTCTGTTACCACCATCACCACCACCACTAACTACCACAACTCCTGCCGTGTTACCATCACTACCAGTGTAAAATGAACGCACTTTGCAAGGTTTTAACAATACATTTTGTTTGAGTGGTGACAATATTTTCAGGCACTAAATGCCACTTAGGTTTACTATATGCATGCGGTCCATAGTTTGGGTTGCATGTCCACAACTACACGACTATGGCTTGTCTTTAATGTATCTCTGTGGCTCTCTGTGTCTCTATGAATCTCCAGGTGTCTCTATATCTCTTGATTAGTATTATCTTTTTGTCACTATGGGCTTGATATGCGGCCCATAGTTGGTTTTGCATGGCCGAAATCGCAATGCGTACCCCATTTTCCATTCACGCAGTGGATGTGGGGAATCGTGGAATGTCAAGGGCAGGCGATGTGCCACGTTTGTTTGGGGCTCCAACGAGGTGTTTATTCTGCAAATGCATGGTTGCCGCAGTGGCTAGGAGATGTTAACTACCTCGCCTGGTATAGAAGAGGTCGTGGGTTCCACCTGCTGTATATTTGTAGTTTGTGTCTCTCTCCCTGTGGTCACGTGGATTTTTCTCCGGGTCCTTCAGTTTTTGCCTAAAAATTTAGAATAAATATCACGCGTTTAGAGTATTTGGTTGCTATACATTTCCACGTGATGATGATGATAAGCCACTTCGTTGAGCTATCATTTGTGATAACCAGGTCTCTTCTGAACAAAAAGCAACATTGCTCAGTGGGTCCTCGCTGGTAGAATAAAATCAGGTTTTAGGTTTATTCTGGACGTACCTGTTGATCCCACTGATCGCCAAGCAGCGTTCTTCCGGATCTGGGTGAGATACAAATGCTGGCAGCCAAGGGTCAAAGTTGACCCCCCATGCACTTGCATAATAGTGTAATATCTGTAACTGCTATTAGTATGAAATGAACGCCTTTTAAAGATGTAATGGAAAACGACATTTGTGCATGATCTAATGCCACGGTTTAACACGTATAGGCTTTCGTGATCACTTTAAGATGTTTTCTTGTTCATGTTTTTTGTTTGTTACGGTCGCACCCGAGTCAAGAGCCACATGGCTCACAGGGTTATCTTATATATATCAAATAAATGAAAACTGAAACTTAAGACCGATATAGGACTTCTTCACAATTCTGCCTAATCGCCTGACGAAGCTGGTTGTTGTAATCACCATGCACGGTATTCGAATTGTAAATGGTGTGGGTTTACTCTCCAACACACCAGTTTGCAGAAGTATTAGCTAATGGGCACGTTTCGTTTACGTGACAAACCTCACTTCTATTTAAAGCTTTCGTGACTGCAGGGATTCATATTCTTGGTTCTTTCGGTAAAGTCACGTCGAAGGGAAAAAATAAAAATAAAACAAAATTCTCACGACGTTTCGATTGCAACACAAGCAATCATCATCAGGTGTGAAATCCACAGCAAGAAAATGTTCTTGATGCAGTCGAAACGTCGTGAGAATTTTTATTGTTTAATATTTTTATTATTTTATTATTTCCCTTCTACGTGACTTTACCGAAAGAACTAAGAATATAAACGTCACTTCCTTCCTTAAATAGTAGGTGCGATGACGTCACTTTGTGTGGCGTCATCACGTGACGTCACGCGGTTCCTGCCAAATGTTCCCAATCATTGCGACCCAGCGGTTAAATCGACTTGTTTCGCTCATTGAACAATGCCCTTTTTTTTACACACACGTAGAGTTATACATTTCTTCAAATCTTTATCCGACGCTTGGGCTCGTCATCGGTGAAGCGAGTACGCTTATACCCTACACAGTAATTCGCCTCCGGTTGAGTGTGACGCCAGAGCGAATAGAAAGCGGGCCAGACCCCGGTACCCCAGTTAGAAATCTTGTACTCTTAGGTTTTTTCGGTAAAGTCACGTAGGTAAAACGAAAAAATGATAATAAAAAATAAGAAACATGATAATAGAAATATATATAATAAAATATTCTATTTTAATTTTTATTATTTCTTTTTATTTTTACCTACGTGACTTTACCGAAAACACCTAAGATTATGAATCCTTGCAGTCACGAAAGCTTCAAATCTAGAAATCTCGTGACCGCGATTCTCCC